AGCATTTCACTGATGTTGATTTTTCGTCGAATTCTCAACTTCAACCAAGTCTCAACGTTTCAACCTATTCTCAATGTTGATACAACGTTGTTGTGCCGAATGGGATGGTACTAGGACTTATAATGTTCTGGTATCATGTCGAAGAGACCCAAACTGGAAACATGCCTCCGATGTATTCAACTATTGAATAAATTAAGATAAGTAATATAACACTGCAATCAAGTGAATCATTTCATATGCATGAGGTACACAGGAGAGCATTCCGCTTCCATTGAAATTGGATGTTCGTGTAGAAACATTGCGGCATTTCATTTGCCTGCTGTTGCTGCTTTTATGGTGAACTTTAGCGCCGAGTGAGCCGATGGAAGTGAAGCAACGGTCAGTGAATTCCACAGCTGCAATTGTGGAATGGAAACTACCGAAGCCAAACGAGAACCTAGGATTCATCGTGGGCTATCAGATATACATCCAGGAGGAACGTGTCGGCGATGCGCCCCCTGAGATGTCATATTCCTACAGTGTTACAGACGGATCTGCGCTTACTTACATTGTCACGGACCTTCAGCCAGATTCGACCTATAAGGTACAGGTGGCAGCTCTGACACGAGCGGGTGAAGGGGCACGAAGCAGTGCCAATATTGTGAAGACTTCTGGAGAAGTTCCTTCAAGACCCTCGCTGCAGATGAGGTAGTCTTCCTGCTTTGAATCAATTTATTGCGCTTGTTCAACGCAGCCAAGATTGAACATTCTTATTTCCATAAAAATATGACAGAACATGGGGTAGTATGGATAAAGATTAATAAGGATGTTGCTTATGTTACTAAATGCCAGAATGAAAACGTCATTTTTAACAAAGCACCTCGTTTCGATGTGAAAGTCCTTTCCTCAATTTGACTGAAATTGTTTTCTCATATCTACTTAGACTGGCAACAGAGGAATCTCCTAAAGCGGTGATTAAGGCAACATGGTCCAATCCCAACCAGACATTCGGAAAAATTCTGGGGTGGCGCTTGCGTTATGAAAAGTGGTCTAATTATTGCGCGACCCTTCTCGACAATGACGTGGAAAAACTCGATATGGAAGAAATCATACTGGATGGACTAGATCAGAATGAGTATACCATACAAGACCTTGGTGAGATAAAACTACCTATTTCCTCAGTGTGGAATCACGTAGCATTTACCCTACAGGGTACAACAAATTATTCACGTTCATAGAGAAAGGATTCAGGTATGAGTTCCGATTGGCTGCTCGCAATGACATTGGGTATGGTCAAGAGGGTTTCGCTAATATCACAACACCTGAGGGACCACCTACTGGCCCCCCTGCAAACATCTCCTTCCACTTCCTCACCTTAAACATCGTTGTAGTCACCTGGGATGTACCAGAGGCTTCCTATTGCAATGGACGTATCATCAACTACAATTTTCAGCTCCGTAAGAGTTTGGAAGACTCCCTCATCTTTGAAAGGAATATCTCAACACCAAAGGTAGATTCATCTATTAGGGTAGCAATTCAACTTTTGACCATGTAAGGATGTCATGAGTGATTTCTAATCTTTATCTAGTTGCTTCTTAAGGATTTGGAAGTCAATACTACGCACTACTTCCGGATCAGTGCCTACACCATAGCAGGAGCTGGCCCCTTCTCAGAGAAGATGAACCTAACAACCCTTCCTGATATTATTCGTGGTCCTAGTAATGTTCGCGCTATGGCGATTACAAATAATTCTTTACATGTCTGGTGGGAGGAAGTTTTGCAAGTCAACGTTTCTGGATATAGGGTAATTTGGTTTTAGAGAATCGTGCATTTCTTCCCTGTGAACAAAATGTTACATTACACTCTGGGCTTTTTCATAGATATACTATACAATGAATGAAACAATGGATCTGGACCTGTGGATGCAAAAAGATGCCCCGAGGACCTGGTCAGCCGAGCTGGAAAATCTTAAGCATTCCGTTAACTACTCTATCCGTGTGGCTGCTCGAACCAAAGAAGTTGGGTTTGATTCCCTTTTATGCCTTTAATTATAGAGAGGAACGAAGGAGAATGATGCATTTTGTATGTTTGCTGTTCAGGGAGACTTGGGAAAGCTGTCAAAGATGATCCAGGTGAAGGTGAAACTAGAATATGTCCCAACAATAACGCGAGTAAAGATCGAATATAGATCAGAGTTTATATGGGAAAGCCCACCGGCTTTCAAGCCACAACATTACCAGGTTCGATCATAGTATTTCTCAAAGTGTAGAATAGTTTTTAGCTTCCTCCATCCCATCTCATGCTTCGCCCCATTCAATGATAGAGATTTACTCAGAAATGGGAAAAACAAAAGTTTTTCCTTATCGCTGGAAAATGTATCTATCCATGTTATCAATTTTGAGGGAGAGCAATCGCAAGTAACAGAATTCGTATTGAAGAAATGGAAGTTTTTTTTTTATTGAAACCGGTTTAATTTTAACATTGGTTTACAGAACGAAGGTTTAAAAAGTAGCACATTTGATGAAAAACATTGGTCCCCCAGAAAAAATGCACTTCGTCTGTAGTCATATTCGTCTCTTTCATTTTGATAGATACAGAAGGCTTCACCAACTTTACTTGACCATTTTAAAAATGCATTTATTCACATGAGGAAATGATGAATATATTTCGTGTAGCAAATGATTCCTGCGGAAGAAGTTCATATTTATAATGAAAAATAAGGGACCATTGTCTTAGTGCTTAATGATTATTGTTGGTTGTCGTGGAAATCTCCGTGAAGTACCTTTCCAGGAAAGGTTACTCACACAAAATAATGATTCGTTGATTCGTACGTGTTTCTTGAAAGAAAGGCGCGTTTACAACGGAATACTCTCAAATATCATCATTTATAGCGGATTGAGGCGAGAGAAAGGCGTGAATTTCAGACATGAAGCAAAATTCAAGACAGGTACGTAGCAATAAACGTTTGTCCGAAGCTACTCATTTCGCGAAAATGGAAAATCCACTGAGCAATAGATAATTTCCATCTCATCAGCCGGTGTCCAAGGGAGCTATCGGTAGGATCACTCGCGAGGATATAAAAATGTAGGAAAAATAAAAGATCGAAGTGGATGTTCTCAGCCCAAAACATATCAGGAGAGGAATAAGAATGCCTGAAAATTATGCGAGCGCCACTTGGCCGGTGAAAGACAGTACGAAGATTATGACACTCGATGAAATCTGGTTGTACCTTTCTACTTGTGGAAATCACCTATTTACAGTCGAAAAATGAGTTTTCGTTACCTAAACAGGGTTTGGATTTCTGTGCGTTAGGGGTGCCAAAGCGTAACATTGCGAATCGGTGCTGCAAGACTTCGGGGTAGACTTGGGAAAGTTATTAAACAGAAATCGGGGAAGTTGGATATTTCTGTGCTCCGTAATGCTTTGGCAGAATAGAACTGGAAGGTTATTCCCCACAATCAAGGAAATGAGATGGAGAATGATATTTCAAGAAGTGTTAAATATGTTTAATGTTTTGAATAATACATGGTAAAATTAAGTTGGGGCAGCCTATATGAACCATGTATTCTTTTGAACGAAAAGGAACTCTGTGACCGAGTCTCTTACGAAATAACGACATTTTTCCAAAAGGTTTCTATCGATGCAGTAAAAGAGTTTGTGGACAGCAATGGATTCACAAAGAGAGAACTGCTACCAGCTACATGTGACACTTTTGAAAGAACCGAAGCAACATTTCACTCCCTCAAGAGCTTCACAACATATAGGTTGAATGTGACTGCAATATCACTCGACGCCACCTATCGTCCTCCCGCTAGTATATACTTCACCACGGATGAGACAGGTGAGACTCGTGACACGCACTTATTGGCGTTCTTTTCTTAGATTCATTCTCTCCTAATCTGTTCTGATTTCATCGTAGTGCCTCCAGAGATGGAAGCACCACGCCTGTACGGAGTGACAAACTCATCGACAATTATGGTAGTTTTGCCCCGAGCATCAGAGATATATGGGCCCATAACATGGTACTTATTGGTGGTGTTGCCGGAGAGCCAGAAGACTAATTATTCCAAGCCAAGTGAGGACTATAGTTTCTCAAACGATGTAAGACACGTCCATATATCAATAAATTAAATGCAAATTAAATTGATTGACCTCTGTGATGCATCGGGTTATTTATACAGGTTATTGGAAGGAACATTATGGTGAAATTCTCCGACAGGTATCGGCATTTGAGTAGCCCCTCCGTTGACCCCCTTCCGGAAGATCAACCTTACATTGCGGCCAAATTTCTCGGGCAAGACATCCCTTATATCTTTAACTTGGGAGACGGTGAAACGTATTATGGCTACCTCAACAAGCAGTTGCGGTGGGGAAAACGTTATAGGATCTTTGTTCGAGCCCATGTCGACAAGATCACAAAGGTGAGCTTGGGAGAACGGTGTGATTCTTCGCGAGATGCATCTTATTAGAGAGTGATATGTGCACTGACCGGTCCAGTATCAGGAAATCTATGCACTGCATGTTAGTCAGAGTAATATTAGAACGCCAAGAGAAAACGTCGAGCAGAAAAGTAAATGCCTAATAGGCATTAGTTGCTGCAGAATCGCATTCTTTCAGAAGGCGCAATTATTCTGGTGTATATGGGTATGACTCAGTAAATCAGGCTCATCATGTCTCCTTTGAATTAAATCAACCTGAGTAATACATTGTGGGGGAAGGTGGGGCAAAATGGGCGAAGTGCAAAACGGGGCAACTCAGACTTTATCCAAACCATAGTTGATATTTATCGGATTTCTACTATATTATAACCCCCAATCACGGGTGCAAGTTTTCAGGCACGACGACGCTCTGTACAGTAGCTTGCAGCACCATAGTAGCAAAATAAGAAAATATCCACTTTTCTTAAGTTGTTTCGAGTTTTTGATGAGCAAAGTAAAGGAACCTGGGAACCTTGGATGCGTCCGATATTTTGTTTGGCGAAAGGTGAACCTACATCATGTCGTAATATTTTCCATAGCTCATTCACTTATTATTTGGCCGTGTTTTAATCATAGCCAGTGCTTGTGGGGCAATACGTGGTGAGATTAAGGGGGCAAAATGTGGCGGTAATAGGCGCAAATTTGAATAGTCTATTATGAGCATAACGTCTCCATGACATCATTTGATAATCGCATTGCCTATTCGTAACTGAGCCGCTTCATTAGATTTATGCACATACAGCTTACAGTACAAAGGGAGATTTTGTTCCTGAACACATTCAACATGATATTCGAGCTCATTGCCACAATCGCCATTGTGAACGCTTCGGTTTAGCAGGTTTTCATGAGACTCAAGACTACTTTGCTAATTTCGTTGTCCCAGCACATTCAATACTCTTGCTTCACCGATTAGCTCATAGGCTATTAGCATTAGCCTATGGCACAGACACCAATGTTTCTGGAACAGAAAATTTCCAAGAACTTGTTCGACTTTAGCATAGAAGGAAATTGGCGCATGTGCGGCACAATGCTAAAGACTAAATCCTGAAAATGCCTCGCCGCCACATTAGCACCAGTGAGCAACACTTTCTGAGCCTCAGGGTAAAGTGTGAGTTGCAGCAGGAGCATTTTTCCGTTGTGAAACAAACTCCTCCTCCCTACATCAAAATGTACAGCCTGACAGAGCTCCCTGCGGCAAAGGACTGTAGTGGTTGAGATGACAAGGAGAGGCATAAAATCCCTAATTCCATGGTGTAATGGCAGCACACCTGACCGGCAAGCAGGAGGACCGGGTTCAATTATTGGCAGCCCCCCGGCTTTCGACATTTGAGTGCTGCGTTCCTTGAACCAAATTGCTCAGCAGGGTCCACGGCTCTCTTATTCCGAAGCTCAGCAGAGGTCTGAGCGGCCCTACGCACGTCTGCTTGCTGTTCATCACTGATTCTAGCCATTACGGCTAGCACCGATTTAGGCACTTCGCACCGCCACTGCAGAGGCAAACGTTGTTTCCGCACCAACCGTTTTTTACCAGCAATACCTGCCTCATAGCCGTCCTGTCGGACCTGCATCAACATTTATTCTTCGCGTCCAACCTCACCTCGCAAAAATCGCCACCATTTTGATGGAAGGTGCACCTCTTTTGCACGACATATGAAGCATAGACATTTTAGACTATTATTTTAACTTCATCAATCATGAGAACTCAGATAAATCGGCCATGACATGAAACGCAAACAAAAAACTATTGCGTGGAAGCGATGGCGCGAACCGCGACGTCTGACCTGACGGAAAAAAAAAACACCTCAGCAAGAAATGTATTCAAATGATGAACTTCCAGTCGATCAGTGAAAACGTGACACGCATTCAGTTAGTAACACCCTTTGCTTGACACAGCTAAGTATGCAGCCTATATAAATAATAGGATGAGCCAAAGCCTATGGCTCAGATTGATATAGCCCGAGGGACCTGGCGCTAAGTGCGTTGAATGGCCAAGCCTTTGGCCTAGTGTAGCATAGCATAGCATAGCCACATGAACTTGGCGATTTGAGCGGTTGATGGTCTAGCCCATGGCCAAGGATGGCTTAGCCTAATGGACCTGGCGCTTTGAGGGGTGGATGGCCTAGCCTGTGTCATGAAGTGACATTGTCTCGTAGGCCTTGCGCGCCCAACTCTCGGGCTCTTCGAATTAAAATACGTGATGGCTTAGAAAGGCGCACCCTTGTAGGCCTGGCCTATGACCCAGAATGGCATTGCATCGTAGGCCCGCACGTGGGGGTGATACCCACGACCACCACATCTTTTCACCTCATCGAATTAAATTATTTGATAGCGGCCTGCGCCCCTTACGCTGGCCGTTTAATTGGTAGAAATTTGAATCGTATATTGTGAGCATAACGTCTCCTTAACAATCCTGTTAATTGCATTACTCATTCGGAACTGAACCGATTTATTACATTTATATACATATAGCTAACAGTAGACAGGGAGATTCTATTCCTAAACATCATCATGTTATTCCAACTGATTGCCACAATTGACATTGCGGTTTAACACGTTTTCATGAGACTTAAGACAGCTTTGCTGATTTCGTCTTCCTAGCACATTCAATACTCTTGCATCACCTGTTAGCTCGTGGGCAATTAGCGATAGCGTATGGTAGACACCAAGCATTCTGAAACAGTACGGACTATTTTGAAGGACTTGTTCGACGGCATAGAGGGAAGTTAGTGCGTGTGCGGCACACTGCTAGCGACTAATTCCTGAAAAAGCCTCGCCTCCACATTAGCACCAGTGAGCAACACCTTTAAAGCCTCATGGTAAAGTGTGAGTTATAGCAGGAACATTTTTCCGTTGCGCCAGCAATGTGAAACAAATGCCCCTCCCTACATGAAAATCTGGAGCCTGACAGTGCTTGCTGTGACAAACGACTGTAATTATTGATATGACAGGAAGAGGCATGGCAAAATGTCCCGAGTTCCGTGGTGTGATGGTAGCGCATGCAATGTAGCAATGCTTGCCTGACTGGCAAGCAGGAGGTCCAGGTTCAATTCTCGGCCGCCCCCCGGCTTTCGACCTGAGTGCTGCGTTCCTTGCATCAAGTTGCCCAGCAGACTGCACGGCTCTCCTATTCAGGAGCTAAGCATTCGCTGGCTCTTGCTGTTCACCGGTCTGAGCGGCCATTCACTCCCAACGTATATCTGCTTGGTGTTTATAATTGAGTGTAGCCATTACGGCTAGCAACGATTTAGGTACTTCGCACCGCAACGGCAGTGCAAACGCTGTTTCCGCGCCAGCACCAATCGTTTATTATCTGCAGCGACTGCCTCATCGCCGTCCTGTTGGACCTCTTTCAACATTTTGTTGAAAGAGGTCCAACTTTCCTCTTTCCTGTCCTCTTTCAACGTTCAACCTCATCTCGCAAAAATCACTACAATATTTGTTGGAGGAGCGGCCCGTTTGCGCGACGTATGAAACAAAGAACTTACGTTATTATTTTGGCTTCATCATTCATGGGAATTCAATTAAATCGTCCAGGACATGAAACGCAAACAAAAAACTATTGCGTGGAAGCGATGCGCACAGTGAAGCGAACCGCGACGTGTGACCTGACGGAAAAAAATAAAATACATAAAAAAAACACCTCAGCAAGGAATGTATTCAAATGAAGAACTTCCTGTCGATCAGTGAAAACGTGACACGCATTCAGTTATTACCACCCTTTGCCAGTTGTGTCAAGGTATTAAGCCTATGGCGCAGACTGATATAGCTGCCGCAATATGTGGTGGATGGCCAATCCTATGGCCTAGAATAGCATAGCCTCAAGGACCTGGCGCATTGAGCAGTGGATGGAGTAGCCCATGGGCTGAAATGATCTAGTCTCGTAGGCCTCGTGCGTTGCG